ATCTTAGTCAGCGCTGAGGATACTTGTTTCACACGCAAACACACACACACACACAAACACACACACACACTCAGCAATGCAGAAACACCAAACAGATGCGTCCCTCTCTACCAGCTCGGCAGGTAATCAGCGGTGAGCGAGCAGCACATGCTGTAAGGTCAGGCCGGGGTCAGCGGTCCGGGGTCAGCGGTCCGGGGTCAGCGGTCCGGGGTCAGCGGTCTGGGTGTTTGACGGGGGTCCTAACAGGACACACTCGTCATATTCACACACACTCTAATGTCCTCCTGAAAGCCTATTCATTTCCAGTGGCAGATTCACACCTCTGTGGAACTGTCTAATAAACGTAGCGGCCTAGTGGCGGGACGGGGAATTACAGTCACTGTGGGTAAAATAACTTTCCAACTTTTTGTTTTCTGGGAAGATTAAAACACAAAATTCAAAAATAAAAAATATATATTACACAGATTGGAGTTCAGTCATGTTGTGTTTATGGTCATAATGTGTTACATAAGACACTGAGAGACCCCTCCTCAGCCCCTCCCCCCACCTGGAATGCTGTTAAGAAGCAAAAAAAAAAAAAATTCCCAACAGTTAAAACTGCGATTTCTTACTTATTTTAATTCCCTCCCCTCATCCATCACTGTCTCCCCTCTCCTCCCTCTCCTCCCTCTCCTCCCTCTCCTCCCTCTCCTCCCTCTCCTCCCTCTCTACGCCTCCTCTTTACTCCTCCTAAAACCAGCCCCTCCCCCTGCTATGACTATTCCATTTTGTCCTTTTCCCTAACGCTGACATAATATACCAGGTCTCTTCATCCAGACTAATTACTCAACACAAACTCCTTTCTCCAGTTCACCCTTCTCTCACCCTCCTCACCCTCCTCCCCCCTCTGCCCTGGGCTTATGAACACATCTGTTTGTCAAGGCCTCCTGGAGTCTCCTGCGTGTGTGTCTGTGTGTGTGTGTGTGTGTGTGTGTGTGATATTTTGCATGTGACCAAGGTGTGAATAAACAGCACAGGTTGAAGGTGGCTGTTTCTCATTATGATGCTACTCTAGCGTTTACGTCAGCGAGAAATGTGTGTGTGTGTGTGTGTGTGTGTGTGTGTGTGTGTGAGCAGGGGAATAAACAGGAAATATAATTGTAATATAATTGTAGTTCTGCTGGATTCACCACTAGGTGATTTGTTCAACGCTCCTCACCGGGGCTTTGATGTCCTATTATTGTCCTTGTGCTGCTTTCTTCTTCTTTTTTTTTCTCCCCCCTCAACGTCCCTCAATCCCCTCTCTCCCATTTTCCCTGACAACCCTGTCCCACCCTCCCCCTCTCCCTCTCTCTCTCTCTCTCTCTCTCTCCCCCATTTCTCTGCTGACACTG